CCGCAGCAGGGCCAGCACATCCATTACTGCACGGGTGAGGAAGCAGGAGTGATGCCCTTGGTGGGTTTGGGCATTGCCCAGCGGCCGTGGGACCCTTCGGTGTGTGCGAAGGTAACGGTCATCCCATGGGGACATGGGAGTTTCAGGGAGACCGTGGCGGGTGTTTGGGAACCCTTGGGGTTTTTTCAGGTTGTGCAGGTGACTGGGCTCGAGTTTGGCTGGGAGCAGTGTGAACGGAGGCCCTGGACCCACCAGGCTGGATTCGGGAGGATGGCTTGGACCAGCTGAGCATCGGCTTTGGATTTCTTTCCTAGAGCATTGCAGGCTGCAAAGTACAACTGATTAATAGGAAACGTGGTCTGAAAGTTATAGTCCCCAGCAGGTCTGTACTGGGTTTCTGGCAGGGTGTTTTACAGGTTGGTTGGACCTCTGTGTCCTGGATTTGGAGAGGGCAGCTCCTGAGGAGTATTTTTCAGGCAGGCTGAGTGCAGGAATAAATGCTGCCGGAGCCGCTTGCAGCAGGGAAATGATGTTTCCCTGGTGCGGGGAGCGTCCAGTGCTGCTTGCTTGGTGTCAGACTGAGACGTTCGATGACAAGCTTTGTCAATGAGGGAATATGTGCAGGATAAGTTGCATTTTGGGGTACTGAGTGGACTGCTGGGGCATAAGGGAAGGGATTGCTAGCCTGGGCCCAAATCACTAATTAATCTTTTTATTTTTATCATTTTTTACTTTGTTATGCTTGCTGGGCTGTTGATGGAAACCCACAGAGCTCCCCGCAGAAGAAGGTAAGTCACGGGCTGGAGGCGAGGGTGGGTATGTGCCTTGAGTCTGGGTGGGGAGTGCTGGGGCGGAGGCTGCTGGAGGAGGGGTAGTCTTTGGGGTCTTTTAATCTTTGTTTTAATCCCAGGGAAAGCTGGGCTGACAGCAGAGCTTTCCTCTGACGGCAAGGCTACCAGCTGTGAATAGAAACACAGAGGTTTTGGTTTCTGTAGTTAAAAACGGACATAGCAAAACCAAGCCAATGCCAGAAATGAAGGTGTTTAATACTGGAGACAAAAATCCCCCATTGCAGTGCTGGATGTCCTTGCTAGTGCCCATGGCCGACGGGCACTGGAGCAGCTCTGCTGCAAGCGGGGGACAGGGTCCTGTTGGCCTTAGTGGCCTCAGTGGTCTAAATGACCTGTCTGGGGTTTTTTTGAGCACTGACTGTGCTTGGCTTTGTGTTTTCCCACCAGGAAAGTCCCTCTGGGAGTTGGTGCTGGAGCAGTTTGAAGACCTCCTCGTCCGCATCCTTTTGATGGCAGCTTTTCTGTCATTCGTAAGTACTCCAGGTTTGGGGATGGGCACCTTCCAGGGCACGTACAGACCCGGCTGGCAGCCAGATAGCAAAGGAGCCAGAGGCAGGTGCGTGTTGGATGAAGGAGATGTACCGGCTGTGCAGTGGTTTTCTAGGGCATAGTGACAATATCATTGTATCTACTTAAAAGATGAGACTGTAGGCTTTTTAAGTAATGCTGGTCCACCCAAAAGTGATATCGAACGACTACCTGGGCTTCTTTCTATTTAACCAAGACTGTACCAGACAAAGGCAGAAAAGGGCCATGGAAACGTTCAGTCCTGAGCACGTTTTGGTGGGATGCCAGGTGGGATGGG